CACACAAACAAACAAACAAACAAGCAGGCAAGCAAGCAAGCAAGCAAGCTAGCTAGCTAGCTCGCTAGTTGGTTATCTATTTAGATACATAGATAGATAGATAGATAGATGGATGGATAAATGGACAGATAGATAGGTTAGATAGACCGATAGACCGATAGATCAACAGAGCGATAGCTAGATAGACAGATAGATAGATGCCACACACACAAAGGCGTGTGCGTGTGTGTGTGTGTGCCGAAATGTACTCTACATGTACACATAGTTAGGTCTGATGAAGAATTGTCTTAGTACTAAAAAGTAACATTATGGAATGTTACGTTACATATATATATACACATACACATAGATATTCATTCATGCAATTATCTGTATATAAACATGCATACATTATATTTTAACAGTTATTTTAACCAACAAATATGTCATACATTGTATCCCACAATCGCATCAAGATGCGTAATGGCGCTGACTTGTGAACGTCGTTGACGGACACTCGCTAAAAGAGATAATGCTTGCTCCCACTCTCCACTCTGGTCACAAGCCAGAATGACAGAACTGTGCGTGATCATGTCCGCTTGTAGCTGGTATCTCTGAAGCACGACTAGGAGGCCAAGAGCTCTTCGCCATTGGCCGCCTTTCTCACAAGCACTGATAGTAGAGTTGAAGCTGATGATGTCGCAGACTCGTTTTGCGGCCAATCTCTCGAGCAAACACAAAGCGATTTGCCACATACCGTGCTTCTCACAGGCGCTGATTGTAGAATTGCATGTGATGACGTCGGCCTCAAGACTACAGCCCTCGAGTTCATCCAACAGGCAAATGGCTTCTGTCCAAGCACGGCCTTTCTCGCAAGCGATGATTGCTGTGCTGTAGGCAATGATGTTTGCCTCTATGTGACGCTGCTTCATGTCGAGAAAAAGTAGCAATGCTCGCTGCCACTCCTTTGCGGCTTCGCAAGCACTGATCACAGCACTGTACGTCACTACGTTTGCTTGCAGAAGGCCTTCTCGGCATTCCTCCAGTAGGCTTACCGCAAGCTGCCACTGGCTGGCCCGTTCACAGGCGCTGATGGTGGAGCTGAAGGAGATCACATCTTGCAAGGACCCTACGTCCTCGAACAACTGCACAGCTGACTGCCACTCGGAGGCCTTGGCACACACGCTGATTGCTGAGTTCGTCGCCACGACGAGGTCCTGCCAAGAAACCATCAGAAACGGTTCCAGGATCAAACAAAGGATTGTAGCCGGTAAAACTCAACGAATGAGGGGACTGGTTTCATGTAGAGGGTATTCATCACTGGTCAAGTCTGCAGGACTGTGACCTGATCTAATCTGCAAGGTTTGGCGACTAAAGAGAGACAGGACTTATGCAACTTCAACCATCACTCGACAAACAGCGCCTTGTGCCGCGTCGCTGAGTCCAGAAATGGGCCCGCGATCGGACGGTTGCCAAGAGTTACAGTTTCAACTCCATTTGATTCCGTCTCATCCCGTTTCTTACCGTTCAATTGTTCTGTTTAGGCACATGCGTTGGCCTCCGCGGCGCCGGGTAGTTGCAATCTTCCTTGTTGGATCATTGTCAGCAAGCCCAGCGCTTGCTGCCAGTTTCCGTCTTCTTCACACGTGCTGATGGCCGCACCGTAGATGATCACATTTGCTGGCACAGCATGCCTCGCCATGTCCTCCAAGAGTGCCAATGCCGCTTGCCACTGGCCACCGGATTGAAAAGCACTTACGGCTGCACCGTACGAAACCACAGTTGGGGTGACTGAGGCTTCTCTAATGTCTTCCATCAAAGCCATCGCTTCATGCCAGCGACTATGCTCGCGACAGCTGGTGATGACTGAGTTGTAAGTGACAATGCTGGCTTGCACTTTGCACGCGTGAAGCCTGGTGAACCCTTCGACGGCTTCCTCCCATCCCTCCAGGGCGATGATGCTTGCGTTGTACGATATCACATCCGCCTCTACGAGCTGATGCAGAAGCTGACTGATGCAAGCCTGAGACCATTGCCACTGAGAACATTCGGAAACAGCGGACACGCTCGAATTGCAGGTGACGAGGCTCACACGCAGATGCCCCATGGCCATACGGGCCAAGAGGTGTAAAGCCAGATGCCAGGCACTCTTGGAAGATGCTGAAATTTTTGAAATCGCAGAGTTGTACGAGATAACATCTGCTTGCTGGTCGCTTTTGGACAACACGTTCAGAAGACCAAGGGCCATCCTCCACTCGCATGCGCTCACAGCCGAATTGAAAGCCACCTGAAGGAATTGTGGCAATTGAAAAAGATCTTTAAACGGCCGGACAAACTAGGGGGCAATTACTGGGATGTTATTGCAGGCATGGCGGACGCTTAAAGGTGAGTGTGCGGTGGCCATCTTGCGTTTACGAATTGGCTCATTGCAAAAGGCTAGAGTCGTGCGACACACAGCACCAACACGACACGCGTCAAGTGCGGTCGCATTCACTACGCTAGCCAGCTGGGATCTTTTTCTACGATTGTACCGTTATAACTTAATAACTGCAGTTATCGATCTCGAATCGTTTAGAACCTTCTAGCTGGTCTGGCATTGTCATGTCGGCGTGGATCCTCACAGTCGTCGTTCTGAATCCTAAACCAATCCGAAACCCATAAACTGTAAACCACAAAACCCTGAACCTTCAAGCAATAAATGAACCCTAAAACCCGAAGCCGCCAACCCCCGAGCCGATCCCGTAAATCCTGGGGCCAAAGCCAAAACCCTGAACCTAAAGCCCAAAGAAAGCAAGTGCATGATTCCACTAGCCAACACGTCAAGGCCGTGTGCGTAAGTTGGGATTTGCACAGCTGCTGCCATATTGACACTACAGTATCCAGCCGGCACGGCCCAGCCCAGCACAGCATTTTCTAAGCCCACAGAAGCGGAGCATATAAATAACTACAAGAGACGACAACAGGTGACTGGTAAAGTAATTCAAGTATTTGAGTGAGGGTGCAATGGTCGCTTCCAGGGTCTCCTCCCCAAGTCGTCCAAGAAGGGCCAGTGCATGAGCCCATCTTCGGCCCTTCGCACACGCACTGATTGCTGGGCAGAAGCTGAAGGTATTTGCCTGTGCCGTAGCTCCACGGACCGCGGCCAGCAAAAGTAAAGCTTGCTGCCACTCCGATTGCCGCTCGCACGTGCCGATGGCCACATTGTGGTTGAAGATGCTTGCAACCAGAGGGTGCTGTGCATGTTGTGTCAAAGGCATCAGCCATGTCTGGCATGGGAATGGCGTCGCCTTGAGCCTGAATTCTTGACCACAATTGTCTCAAATCTGTCTCTTTCCCAACCTCTTGCTCTCGTTGCTGTTCTTGCCTTGTTCCTCTTCTTCTCCGCCACCGCTCGACAGCAGACTCATGCATGCATGCAACATGACAATTAACTTTTTGGACTGCCGAAAAACGCTTGTCCATGCAATGGTTCGGCATGGATTGCAGGCGGTTTGACTAGCTTACCTGACAAGTCTTACTGAACTGAAGTCGGAAGGAACGACACCGCATGAAAACATAACTCTCGCACAACACACGCTGCAGCCGAGCCCATGACACTTTCGTGCAGTAAGGAAGCATCTCTTCCCTCGCCATCTGCCCTTCCCTATCCTGTGTCTCTGTGGGCAAGCCCCCAAGAGTACGCGCTAAAGCGAATAATTTCTAAAAGCAATAATTAATGGCCCTGGGTGCACAGCAACGCGTAAACATGTAAACAGGAAGCAATTCCCCAGCAGTTCCCCTGAGGCGTCAGACATGGCACAAGCAGCTCACCACTCGCTTTGCTTTGCTTTGCTTCGGGACGCTGGCAGACCCAGCGCCCCGCGCTCAATGGGAATGCGCCCTCCCTCTCTCTCTCTTTGCTTTGCTTTGCTTTGCTTTGGGCTCTCTCTCTCTCTCTCTCTCTGTTTTGGCTTTCGCACTGATTCCATCCAAGGCTCTTTGGCAAGCTCTGCAGCAAGTGCAGGCCTCGGAACACTCAAGCTGAATTGCTCAACCAGTCACCATGAGTCTTTGCTGGAATCGAAAACTCTCCTCTTCATTCATTATGCTTGGAAGAGGTCACTATTCCAAGCCGATAACGACGCTGAGGACCGCTCATGTCTGTGGCGGAAGATGTGCCTTGAGCAGTGCATTGTATCACATGCCGGTGTTTTTCTCCGACACAAGACTGTGGTTTCTGTTCATCAACACATTTCTCGTTTCGAGATCTTCCATGAAATCGACGGCTCCATTGTGTTCTAGTGTCTGTTGCATTACTAAAGAATCAGTTCCCGCCCGGAACGGGGCTCGCGAATGAAGTCGTCGACGAATGTGATCAGCGGGAATATCTTAATGGATCAGAAAGCACGGAACGCACTGCGCGAACCGGGGCATTTTGTCGAGAGGACAATGCCCAGGCCTGTTCCCAGGGGCCGCAACGACAGTGCGCCGAGAATGACAACCAAAGCTCCCTCTCACCACTGCCGACAGCAGCTACATTGCCCCCTGCATCCCTCCCAGAGGCTGTCGGGAGGTTTGCTTACGACTTAGGCGAAACAAGCCATCACGGATGCTACCTGATGTATAATGTCATAAACTGCCACCCTCGAAAAAACTGTGGTTGTCAAAACCGCTGTCGAGTTCGACACCGTCTGCGTCCTTCACGTCTACCGCCTTCCTCTCCCGCAAGTCTCCACAATTTGAGTCCGCCCTGTGTCTGCTGCAGCTCGGTGCACAATGCCACCATGAGTTGCTTTCTCGGTAGCGCTCACTTTGATCACCATGTCTCAAATGCATGTGGTGATACTGAGGGTGTTCTTGCTTTGCCGCGTGTGGTGGTTTTGGCACACCGCTTCCCTCTGGGCCGAAGCCCGAATCTGACCAGGTGCCCCAGATTCAGCGTGCTGGGAGGGCTCTAGGGTTCCCCCACCAACCACTTTGAGGGTTTCGCCAGCCGACAGCTCCGCTGGGGTTGTCGGCTTCAACCCTGTCTCCCTTTTGGGTTAAGGGGCTCCCACCCAGCGCACTTGATTCGGGACTAGCACCAGTCGGCAGCAAGAAGCCATAACCGAGCGGATTGACCCTGCTTGCATCGGCCTCGAGCTGCGCCACCTGCGCGGCCAGCGAGCATTCCAGCTTCGCATCAGTAAGGACCACCACGGCGTGGCGTACCTTCGACGAGAGGCTTCTGCATGAGAGGGCAAAGAGCAAGCAGAGCGAAAGCAGAGCGAAACATCGAAGTGGCTCGCCTTGTACTCCTCGTCCCAAAGCAATGCGGCTTCCTTGCAACCGGCCTCCTGGAGCTTCCGCTCCTAGGCTCATAACAAGGAAAAAGCAATCAAGCAATATCAAGCATGCTAGCTAGGCCCAGGCAAAGTCTCGGACTCTGGAGAAAGACAGCTGCAGTCTTAAGCTTCTGGCAACTGATGCAAGATCTAGCCACTTGCCGCCGACCTTCAGCATCGACGCCAGCTCTGAAAGTCACAGAATGGCACACAGTCTGGTGAGCTCAGGAAGGCATGTTGCACCGCGCCTTGGCGAAGCCATCCGCGCGGCCACAATACTCAAGAGCACCATCCCTCGTCCACCGTGCCAGATCCCGGGTTCTGCCGCAGGGAGCGACACTGTAACATAAGTCCGAACTTGCTGTAATTCAAGCCCTTGCCAGGAAGACGATCGATTGTTCCTAGCTTGAAGGCTTCGCTTGAAGGCTTGAAAAGCTTGTGAGTTTGGTTCGGTCATTCACTCGGCTCGCTTGGCTTGGCTGATGCAGCCTAGCCTGTAGTGGCGCACGAGCTGGCCGTCAGCACCCGGCAGGTCCACAAAGGAACCTGGCGGGTCTTCAGTCCCACGAACTTCAGGACTGAGCAAACCGCAATCCTGCGGCCTTCGTTCAGGATAGCTTTGGTGTAGCCCTGCGCGCTGACCTTATGCAGGTGTACGAAAGCATCTATAGGACGGATGCCAGGCCGTTTGGTTGTATTGCTCGCCGGGACGCCATGGGACCGGCGATGTAAAGCTCTCCTTAAGAATCAGCTTGAAACCCTTGGAACTGGGAGGGCAGCAAGGCTTGTTCGGCAAACCGGTCAGCAAGTGCGGACAAGATTCCGACCTCGCCTGACTGATGGCATTCAAACTGAAAGAAAACTTCTGGAAACAGCTCAACAACGAACTCGACCCTTGCACAAACTGAATGACCGGAGCTACATTGCCCATGTAGGTTTCCTGTGTCCAGTTCACAGCTTCTGCTTCTTGGCCTGCCCACCCCTTGTCCTTCACCATAATTTTCGAACCCCCCTTTGCTGTTCCACGTGTTATGATTCGTCCTTCAAGTTCCGGAATCATCTAGCTACCCTCCCCCTTCCACTTGAGCCGTCTTCTGTTTCTGAGAACCCCGTCGGCTCACACTCCTGCATTTTGGTTCAACCCTCCATGCTTCAGAAATGTGTCCTGCCGACCGTTCTCCGTCAAGCTTTATCTGTGCCCTGCTGCGATGTTGGAAGTTGCACCTTTCACAAGCAATCCAGTGCTGCTGTCTATCTTGTGCTTCTGCTACGCATCTTGCTGTCACTTGCTTTGATCTGCCGCGCACTCTTGTGCCGTCGGCGAAGCTAGAAAGAGACTTCCCAAACGAGATCTTTGTGCTCTACGAATTCAATACTCTGTAGTTTTCGCTACTTCCCTCTCGAGACTTCTGTCACAAGTTGTTCTCTGCATACTACCCATCCCTCGTCGTGGAGCTCACTTGCGGCTGTGCTGGAAACACAACACAACAAGCGGAAGGTTGGCGACAGGATGAGGCCATTGTAATGCTTACCTATATGAACAGTCAACGGAAAAGCTGGTGAAGCTGGACCGGCAAAACAAGCCCGGCATGCAGCTTCAACTCACGGCATGGAAGAGTCTGAATTGCACCCGCCTGGTGACACATGATGCGGCGAGGCAGTATCCTAGTGGCACAAGTGTGACTTTGCGATAATCTTGTGCTCACATCGCAGAGAGTGCCTCTTGCTGCGCCGAAAGCAGCTGGAGCCGTGCCCCGCGCACTGGCCGGAAGCCGTCAAGGCCTGACTTTCAGATTCGTAGGCGTCGGAAGCTCCCCAGGGCATCCGCTGTCCAACCAAGCAACTCTGCCGACTCTGCCGGTGGTCGGCGCAAAGCACAAGCCTCGAAAGCTCGACGAAATGTTGAAGTTGAACAGTTTGAAGTCGAGACGACCAAATCGCACCGAATCCATGGACTCAGATACACTAGAATTCGACGAGCGGCCAGTACTCACTCGCGATTAGCAAGTCCAGCAGTTGGACTTGGCTGCACCACGCTGCAGCCGTCGATGGCCTTTCGGGACGCGGCAGTTGCCCTGCTATTGCTTGTAGACTCATTCGGCAGAGAGTCCGCAACGCTTCTCCCCAGGTGAACACTGTGCCTCCAGCTCAAAGCAAAAGTCAATTTGAGATTGCGGGAAGTAGCAGACTGCAAATGATGGCTTGGTGAATGATCATCTTTGGGTTGCATGTCTCAGGCGGGATGGACACCATTATCTTTCGGCATAGCTGCGCAAGGAGGTACAGCGTGACATGGTCAGAGCATCGAGAAGAGAAGGCCTCGGCGGACATGAGCCGTACTGGGAAGGTGGTCAGTGTCACCGGGAGCTGTGACCAAACCAGAACGAGGTGCACAAGCCCTGCCACGGTGATATGACGCTGCTCGATAGCTTGCGCAACCTTGCACCGAGGCAAGTCAAGGCTTCCCGAAATGTCCGAGACTGGCGGTGACCTCCGCGAGCCCATGGCGCCCAAGAATCACCTTTGCACGGCGAGGACTGCGGGCAAGGCCTGTCTGGTCCGCAGTACATGTTGCCCATATTTATCTCCGAGGGGCTAGGCAGCCACCACAAGACCAGGGCAGATCAAACAAACCCAAACCTCAGGTTTGGACACGATTGGCAAGCAACTGCAGCCTTGCGCAGGCATGTTTGCGCAGCTTGCCACTGAAGTTAAGTCGTTCCACAAGTCGCGCCCCAGAATGCGGAGGTATGATGCAAGATTCGGTCCTGCAACCACAAGCCACCAAGCTCGGCATTCAATCGAGGAATGAAACATTCTCAAACCAGTTCATTCTTCGAGATCGCTTCCGGCAAACGATTGAATCAAGCCCGCACGCGCACATCACCAACGTCATGCTGGTATGTCTTTCATTGTCTTTCGCTGCCGAAGTCCGTTTCTTCATTTCTTCTACTACCTTCCTTCGTCTGTGCAAGATGCGCACGCTAAGTTGCACGTATTTTCCGACATATGACTCATCTGACAAGGAAAGATCAATCAATGCTAAGTTTTCCCTGCGACTCTCCGTAAGGTGGGAAACGGCCACAGAACACTGATCAGATGAAGCAAGTTGAACTTCACACATGCGAGCGGTGACCAGTTCGACCATGAGCTGGGAAATCAGGCAACTAGAAACCCATCGCCGATCACAATCCGATCAGCTTTTCCTTGAGGTATCCGAAGGCTCGTCTCCCATGCCCCAAGACCCAAAAAAAAACACTGGGGGAAACGAGCAGACTTGCGAATTCATTTGTGCCAGCTTCACACGGCAGGCGGGTCCCGGTTGTCGGCAAGACTTCCACACCGGCAATAACTGTCTCTTCAAGCAGCACTGCAAAGAAGGGAGCATGTGCAGCGTCAATGCATGGTCAAAAGTGCAGGAATCTGTCTGGGAAGCTGAGAATGCAGATTTCGTCGGGCACATCAGAACCCCCCACCCCCCGCCGCCCTCCCCTCCCCCTTTCAGGAAGCAAACGAGCTCCCCCACCCCAGCCGGAGCGTCACACGTGAGTTGGAGTCGAGGGCATATCTCGTCTGGCTTTGGGATCCGGAGTTCACGCAGGCGGTGGGCACACTATCGCTTTGAGGATGTTATTCCCTGACGAGTGTGGGAACACTGTGGGGTTCTTACATTGGAAGCGAGTTGCGGCAGCGCGCGGAAAAAGGGTTCTCGGGTGCTCGGCTCCCGCTGTAGTGCGGCGACACCCTCTCAGTCTTGAGTGGAGCCTGCTGACAACCACCATATTGGACGTTTTTCGGCTTATTTTGTAGCCGATTCCGATTGTCGGAGAATTACACCTGCTACTGTACCCTTGAAAGTCAAATCTGCAGCCGAACAACAAACATTAACCTGCTTCCAAAATTGATCACTCCTGCCATGCATCTGCAAACCTAGGGTTTGCAACGGGAAAGCAAAAGCCGGAAATCCACAAAAAGCAACGCATGCGCCTCTTGATTTGGAAATCCACAAACCCCACGTGCGCCCCTGTTGATTGAATTCCTGAAAATCCAGTAGACCTGCAAGACCTGCTTAGCTTTGTTTTTGTCCTGTACCGTCGCAGGTTTTGGCTTGCCCGTCGACCCGAACGGCGATGCGTCAGCTGGGGGTTGATCGATACTATTGTTCCGATGAGTGACCATGTAATACCCCTTGCGCTCGCCCTTGCGCACTCTTGCACGTTTCCTGCGCACACACGAGTTTTTGCATGCGTGCATGCTGTATGGTCATGAGCTGCAGTATTTTGAGTACCAAGGCATGATCCATCCGGCAGCAGGGCTAGGAAGTCCATACTGTTTGGTATGATTTCTTGCCATGGCGGGCTTTTCAGCGCCCCTATGCTGAGCTCAGACTGTTTAGGCTGGTCTGTTCTGTACTGACAGCGAAAACCATATGAAACGATCAGAATACACTTCAGAAGAGCTAGGAAGTCCATACTGTTCGTTACGAGTTCTTGCCATGGTAGCTTTTTGAGGGCAACTACATGTCCCATGCTGATTTCTCAAGTGTTGGGGCAGCTGCTTCATTCGGGGGGGCCTCCAGCTCTTTCAGCAGAATACGAAATCCCAAGGTGCAGCAATACCATAAAATTAGGCTCCAAATGACCCTGAACAATTACTTTTCGGTGCGAAACATGAACCTGCCCAAACTGCTAATTCCCCTCCAGATTCTCAAAACCCCACGGCACACCGCAAAACTGGATCTTGAAATTCCTCTTCCAGCCCTGCGCCACGCCTTGTTTTTCTGAGGGAGGGGAGGGTCCGGAGGAGGGAGGACCTTGCATAATGGTCCCTGCCTTGCAAGCACAGACTGGTGCTGACGGCTTCCCAGATTCACGAGCAGGGTCGATTTCGAAGCTTATTGAGCAAATTCATTCGACGGTGACGAGTGCATGCGGCTCTCCAGTCTCAAAAGTGCTGAGCGCGCTCCTCGCAGGTCATCACACCAAAGTCTGGATATGTCCGAAGCTCGTGGATGGCCATTCCTGCAGGCCACACAGGCGCCGGCTCTCTCATTCACACCACCCATCTGACGAGCTGCTGTGGGTCTGCACCACACACTTCGAGGCTGCTGTAGTCCCACCTGGCTGCAGACAGCAAAATGAGACGGCCTCTCAGCACGTCACCTGCGAACTCACCAGACTTACAAACTATGGCGAGTGAATCCTTCGCAGACCGGGCTTTGACGCGGCCCTGCCTGTGTATACCAGCCACAGTGCATCGTCCAAGTGCCTTCCACCGCACACAAAATGTATCCAGCACATAGCTCCAGCACACAGCTCTTGCTGCGCGTCACTTCGAATCGCTCTGGCCTGGATCCCCAGGCCTGCGGTCTCTCATAGAACGCAGCCACCTGGTCATGAGGAGCAGCACAGGCAACTGCTTCTGGGAGAATGGCCAGCTCACGACATTGCCTGTCTGCTGTGCAAAGTGTCAGCGAAAACCAATGCTGCGCCATTTGCGTGAGACCTGTTGAACGTCGTTTTGACATTGCTCTTTTGCAGACAGGTGGAGCTGGCTGCCCAGCTCTAGCAGCGGCGCCGCTGCAGCAGCATCACGCACGGCATGCTCGAGGACCAGCAGCCTCTGTCTCGCTGCATGCTTCGCTTGGCCCGTGTGTCCTTTGTCCTGTGCTTCGCTTTGCTTCGCACCTCGGCCTGTGCTCGGCGAGCGCTTCTCTGCTGCGAACCACCTGCTTGGGATGCTGCGGGCGCGCCGGGCTCCGGCAGTACCAGCCTTATGTTCCACCCAACCCAAGCCAGACTGAACTCAAAGCAATCCTGAAAACTCAAATCACGCTGCCGGACTTCAGCGACGTGGTTGGATACCTCTTCCTCGGTGCCCAAATCGCAGCTAAGAGCCAGCCTCAGTCATAACTCATAGCGCATGAACGAGGTTCTCCGAGCCCTCTGAGATCGATCTCTGAGTTCCGCGCACCGGGCCCAAACGGCTGGCTGCAAGGCAGCTGGCGACCCACAAGCAGCTGCGGCGCAGCAACAGAGCGACCTGAGCTGAGGAACCGGGAGCATCAGCAGCCTTTCACAGACGTTGACGCGACACGCGACGCACGAACTGCCGGAAGCGGAGATGCCTGTTGAACCCATCTCTCAGTTTCGGGGGAGGTTACTTACATCCGAAGCCCAAGCCACGGGGAGAACGACCCCAGCCTGAAGCTGATGATGGCAGCTGGGGTACTCGAGGGCTTAGCAGGATTGGATGGCTGGCGAACCCGAAGCAAGGCCGGAAAAAGCCACCTACAAATCTTAGAGGAAACCTACGCAGACACAGAGCAATGCCAGGCAAACGCAAAACCTCAAAGGAGAGTCACATTTGGCAAACGCCAGATGGCCAGCGAAGGAAACATTGGCCGGCAACACCAGCTTGTCACTGAAGCGATAGGACTTACAAGTGGCGGCCTTCGAGCGTACAGCCCGCAAAACACCATGGCTGGGGCTGGTCGGGAACGGCTGGCACACCTGCTCGAAAAGAAGCAGATGCTTCTGAAGTCCAAACACTTTGGCTGTAAAACTAAAGAAGCCTCTCGGATGGCAAATCTTGGCCCCTCCACTGCAAGCGTGCCCGCTACACTGATGCCCGGCGAAGATAGCGAACCCCAGCAGGAGAAATGGCAGCACCATGCACTTGCAGCAAACCCAAAAATGCCCAACAATCTGACAAACTCAAGACTGCCAGATGCCAAACCCGAAAAAAACAGCGTGCCGGCGTAAGCCCCGACCAGGGAAAGACCACGCGGCACATCACTGCAAGGCGACTCAAGTACCACACCGGGAGCGCATCCACCCAAATTCAGGTACCACTCCAGGACCGCTCTCAAAACGAATCCACGTGCAATATGCGTCGGAATTGCGGCGAGGGCACAATCCACACCCCAACATGCATACGGCACTGTGCCCAGCGCATACAAAGGCCAGCAGCGGCGAGAAAAATACGAGTGCAGCGGTGGCAAAAGCAAGATGCGACCGCAGTACGCGCCTTTTCTAGTGTAGCAGGTTCAGAACGGAGTCATTGTTGACAACTCGACAACCCCCAGAAAGGTGACCGCTGGAAAACATTATATCTCCAAATGCCTGGCTAAATGTGAACTCCAAACAATGCTTGCACTGCAAGAGGGGTGATGGCTACCAAAGCCTGAAGCGCACTCGAACGCTGGCCGGCAGACCCACGATCCACCAGAGGCATCAGCCAAAGACTGTGGCCAAATCGCGAGTTCGATGGAGCATTGCTGGGGCGCCCACAACAGGCGGTGTATCACCTGCCATGCACGCATGAACAAAAGCAGGTCTCAAGGATCGTTCGACGCCTGTCGGCAGCATTTCCAGGAAGCCTTTTGCGAGACGAAGTGACGCCTCCAGCATTCGAAATTCGACGTGGAAACAATGTACGAATCTGTTCCGCAGCACGTTCAAATGAACAAGACACGCCTGCTGAAGATCCAAGTACGTCCAGGCACAACCAAACTCGTCCTTCAGGGGATTGCCCAGGCGGGTGACGCCGGCGTTGACTGGTGCAGCTTCGGGGAGGGTTGGGCTCTTTCCCTGCCCTTTCAGAAGCAGCCGTTTGTCAAGCGGCGGATTGTAAGTGCGCAGCGCCGAAGAAGTTCCAAACCGAGGAGATTCAACAGCAGAACCGTCATGAACCATCAAACAGACCATCAGTACCTTCAAAGCTGAATAAAGGTTCTACGACTAGTCCATCAAATCCACTTTGCCGGCTTTCTCCTCAACAGCTGGTCTTTGAGGATATCTTGTGGCGAGCTTGTCGAAAGCCTCCATAGTGGCAAACACGAGTGCGAGGGAGACTGACAACGAGGAGCCTAGAAGACGAACAAGCTGCCCCAGGGACAACACCATGCCCAGGACACGGAAGGACAGCCGCAGAATTCTTTCCAGCAGATGTGGTTATTCGATCCTCTGAAGCTACATGCGAAAGCTTCCCTTCGAGAGTCCGAGACACTTGGCTCGGATGTACCAGCACGAACAAGTACGTGCAATCAGTGATTTCGAACATCCTCTACCACCTGTGAACTACTGTGGCTCCCTGCCTCGTCCAACCCGACGACGCCTTCAAAGGACCACTGATCCTGGACGCACTGGACACAAAGACGGATGGAACAAACCGACTGTATCTCATACTGCAACGATTCAACCTTTCCTCCTCCATCATTGTAGCTTCCTGCGATTCGTGTCCACTTACACAAGGCCGCTTGGCATTGTCAAGGACTTCGTCTGTAGCCTCGGCATTTGTAGAGCACAAGAGAAACTGCGCACAGTCAGAGCAATCACAACAGCATAAATCACGAAAGCAAATCAAAGAACAGGCACCCTCGGTGTGGCTTCCACTGTCTCCCCTCTCGCTCTGTGAACTCTTCAATTTGAGCCAACGGTCAGACCTCGAGTGCCATCGCGCGTCGCTTCATCCGGCGAGTCCTCGTGTCTCGCATGGGGAGTTCAGAAGTGCACCCGTTTGTGCGCGCAAACAGTGGCCTAGGCTATAGAGAGACCCGATCAAACTTCATACTTACACGAGCTGCAATATGCGAGTTCCGGAGCTTGAGTCCGTGACGCCTCGTAGATGCGCTGACACCTGTCTCGGACAAGAAAGCTTGTCGAAGTTCGAGATCAAGCCTTGCATTGCATCCCTTCACGTACTCGGCTTAACATTAACAGTGCTTGCACATGATAACAAACCTGGCTCTCTTCTGCGACAGGTGGTATAGATGGTGCTTTGCTGCAAACTCGTTGAACGGCCTATCCGGGACAATCCCCGTTTGACATACGCCATCATGCGAGACCACCATAACCCTCCATAACCCCACCACTATGTTTTGAGCCAGAAAAAGCGGCAAACCGTGGTCCAGTGGTTGCCCTGTATGAATTCCTACAGACTGTACATCATCTTGCTCACACGGGTCCGATCCGCAAAAATTCCCTGAGGTTCCAATGCTCTACGAAATTGCACCAACAGAGCGGCTGACGGATGCTCGACCCCATCAAATTGCACACAACTGCACGTATGCCTCTTTTGGCAACTTTGGCTCAAACTCCCCCATCTCCGCCTATCTCCTTCTATATGGCGTCTGCTTCGCTCAGCATCTGGCCAACAAGGGCATGTGCAACAACAAGTAAGCAGCAAGTCGTCCACACATCTGCATCCTGCCTGCTGGTATCTGCATTATACAAGCCTCTAACTCTCAAGACATACATTGAATGCTTACGAATCATTTCATGTTCCATTGCAAACAGGTGAAGTTTGCGGATGGTTTCATGGTGTTTCTCTGGCTTCTTTTGCCGAAGCATGCCGAAGCGATATCCTGGTGCCCTCAGGTCTGAAGCGCTGAACGTCGCCGAACCCCACACCCACACCCCGCGACCGCTCCCTGCGCATCCTGTGGACGCTGCCATTCTCTTCTGACCGACGCTATCCAGTACCGCCTGTTTATGCAAGTCGAGCAACCTAAAATCCTTTCATGCGATCAGGCAACATTTGTACACAGAAACATGAATGTGTGCGCGTGCGTTTGTACGCAGAAGGCGTTGAAAAGTTCCAGAAAAATTTGTAGCACCATCGAGACCATGTGTTGGGGCACAGGCGCGCGACACTTGGGCGGCACGCGGCGAGCATCACGAGCACCTGGCGCGCGTGCAGCGGCCCATCAGGCGCAGGCAGGCGCAAGCCGATTTTTTCGCAGGTCGGGAGGGGTACCGGAAGGCCTCAAATTAGTGCCCGCACGCGCAATGATGCTGATGATGCTCACTGGAAGGCCTCAAAGGTGGCTCCCCCGCGCGCGCAATGATGCTGGCCACGGAGGCGGCAGGGGGAGGAACGCGCGCACGCATGCTCATGATGCTGGCCAGGGCGGGAAGGGCAGGAGGCGGGATCAGGCCCTTCCTTGCCCCCCGCCCAATGAATGAGTGAATGATTGAATGAACGAATGATTGAATGATTGAATGATTGAGTGATTGATTGATTGATGGATTGATTGAATGAATGAATGAATGAATGAAGGGATGAATGAATGAATTAAGGAATGCATGAATGAATGAACTGCCTGCGTTGCCCGACTCTGGGCGCAGCCCCTTAAAAATCTTAAAGCATCAGAACAATTTAAAATAAGACATCTTACAGTACCACAATATACTCTCAATAGTGGACAAGAATAGGTTGTAGTTGATTATGGTATATTGTAGTAGAGTCTAGCATACTACTGTACAGAATAGCATAGCATAGTATAAGCTCGTATTCGTAGAGCATAGCATAGTTTAGGTTAGTGTAGTGTGCTGTCGTATGTTGTCTTGTGCTATGCTATGCTGAACTCTCTTCCCAAAAACTCTGAGTGCCAGGCCTGAACGGGAAGTCCTGGCCCACCAAGGTGCTTTGAGCAACATGCAGTCAATGTGTCGGAGCTCCGGGCACGACACACGGAGCTTGAAAAATCGGCGGCTTCAGCGCTTTGAAGGCCCCTGACACGCAGACACGGTCGAAGGGATCGCAAGCAGCGCTCTTCAGCGCTGAAACTGAGACGTTAGCGCCGCATCTGCGGGGTCTGAAGAGCCGGAGCCGGTCCTCACACCGGGCCTGGGAGGCCCGCGGATGAAGGCACGGACCGCGGGCCTGGCGGGCCTGGCGGGCCTGGCGGGCCTCCGCGGCCTCTGCGGCCGCAGTGAAGTCTCGGCTCTCGCAGGGAAACGAAGGTCGCGAAGGGATGCAACTTTGTCATCTTATGATTGAAGTGGAGCCGAGATATGCCCGAATGGCCACGTCGCCGGAACGGCGGCATTGAGCTCTGGGTGGTGGCATGTACTGGCAGCGGCAGTTCAGTCTTTTGGCCAAAGGGCTTCGCGGTGCGCAACTTCCGGAACGGCAATAGGAGCCTGGAAATCACAGGCGAACACGACTGGCTTATCGTTTTCGAACTGATAGAAGCGAAGAAAGTCATAAGGTGTCCGCCACTTGAAGTCAAGCTTGACCCGGCTATGGCTACGCGTCAATTTGCAGCAAGCCCCAATCTGAAATCGCGTCAGTTGCACCATGCAAAGCTCACCCCTTAAGCACCTAGATGCAGAGCGGTTGGAAAAGGAACGTCAAGCAGAGCGGCTGGAAATCGAATGCTGGACCACTTGCTATGTCAAGAGTGGAGCGGACTGGCGCATCCGCAATCTGCAGCAGCTACCAGCTGCAGAGCATGTGAAGGCATCACAGACCCGCAAAGCTTTCTCGAGGTCACAGAGCATCGCATCTCTGTGGTTACCGGCCAAATCAAGATGCAAACTGCTGGACGTGCAGTCTCTGAGCCAACGGACTTAGTGTGACATGCGATCGCAGTATTCCCGCTCGCCAGGGCTCGAAAAACCGGGACTGCGACACTGCAACACAAAGACAGACAAAGTGATTATACTTAAGGCCCTGTCCTGCTCAAGTTCCATTGCGTAAAGCGGCGGTAAAGATTTGGCTCAGGCACACTTGAGCTGCTTTAGTCTACGTGGGAGCCGTGCGCAACGTGAGCCCATCGTTGCTAATTAGCATAGGTTGCCTGTAGCATACCTGGGAACATGGCTTGTTCTGACTATTTCTGAATTCGAAAACTCCTGGCGAGTTTTGCTTAGGTCTGTAAAACAAGAATACATCTTCATAGGCCCTGTCGGAATGCTTAGAAGCCCGGCGGCAGGCAGATTCAAGACTATGGACGCAACACGGGGCGTCGTGTCATCGAAAACTCGCCTATGTGATTACACTCGGGGGCTTACCACAACTGGGAACAGCAATGCCGACATATCGAATGCCAGCTGGCCGTACACTGACAGGTACCAGCTATTCGATGATATGCAGCAGCTAACAATATTTAGAGTCCTATCCGGAAATCCCCAAAAGGAACTACTGAGGAGCCTATGGGTATCAGATCTTGCGGGCACAGCAAGTCCGCCGCGTCTCAGAGTTTCAGACCCAGCAAAGTGTTGACGATGCCGGGGAGCCGCTGAGGCGCACACCGCGTCACTGAGCGGACATGAGCGGACTTGCGAAGCCGTTGGCGGGAGGGGAGTTCTGTGGCGACTCTCGTAACAATGACTCGAACGCTGTTCGCCTCTTCGAAGAGCTGGCCCGTGAATTCCGTCGTGGCTGCTCTCACGGCCAGCTGATAGCCATGCGCAAACAAGGGCTTCAACCACACCTCGGCATGCAAGGCATGCTCACGGAACCGTCCCAGATTGCTGCTCCCATGCCATCGTGCAGGCACAGCGCCCAGGCAGATCAGGGATGCACAACCTCTCCAGTTTGGGGGTCCCCGGTGACGTTCTGATCTGCACGCCGGCACAACTGCAAGACTTGCTCAGCAGACTCGCGATGAGCCGATGGCGGTAAAAAGACTGCTTGCAAACAAGTGGAAATCCCTGCATTGCCCGCAGCTCGTGTCATGGCCGTGCGCTGCGGCACCTCATCTTGGGCCGAAAGGAGCGCAAACCAGTCATGGTTGGCACCTGCGCCTTGCAAGCCTTGCAAAGGCCACCTGCAGGCTACCACAAGGGAAGTCTAAGCTGGTCTCGACGAAGTTACGGCTGGGTTCTGAAATCATCGTTACTCCCCAGCTATCCGATCTATGGGCTCGCATCGGTCGCATGACGAGGGCGAGCGTGTTACGTGCGGTGACGTCCCAGAACCCCACTGCAGACTCTCGAAGGCTTTATGAAGGGCTGAGTTTCTCATGGATTTTTCAACGTTAAAGGTCTTCAAACTCTCCGGGCCGAGGTTCGGCCTCTGCTTCTGGCAATTGGGAACACCAAAGGCTGTGGCCTCTGCTCACGTGCTACTTACTTACTTGTAGATGAGTCATGGGCGAATCCGAATGAGCTTTGCTCTGTGACTGAGCACCAGCTCCGAGGTCAACCGAGGACATCTCTCACAACCGTTAAGACTTTAAGCATGTCCGATTTACTGTGCAGGCGATCTGGCAAGCTGCAGCTCCGAACTGCAGCTGGGAAGACCTGGGGTACGCGCCCACCGCGAAGAAAATTGGCTTACGCTGCGCAGCCCCGGCAGCACAAGCGCAGCTTAGGTCTAAGATGCTCGACTCGGATTGCCGAGCATAGAACGGCAGGATCGCCGCTGTACCTCTTTCCATCAAGTGCATTTTGCACTTTGCAACCGTGCTCCCACTGCCGAGGCGACGTCAAGCACTTTCGATTAACTCGTGGAAGGTGAGGACTTGCGGAGAAGGCGGGCGAGAAATGAGGAAATGGAGCCTGCGCAGCTCAAAGGAAATCGCGCCAGTTGCAGTCGCAAAAACGTCGAGCAGCAACAGAAAACCTTCGAGTGGAAGGTTCGGAGGCTAGCAGTGGCTAGCATGCGAGTTGAAGAAAGTTCTGCTCTCGATTCGCCCCTCGCCGCAGGCCCTCGGTGCAGAAGGGATCCATGCAATGTCCTCCATCAGGGTGGGCTCCTTGAGCCATTGCGGTACACCCTGCACGACATGCATGACGAGCAAGTAATTCGTTTGCACTGAATCAGGACAACAAGTCGACGTCACACATTCCAGCTGTGCACAAACAAGCCTTTCTGGTATGCTTAGCATGCAATGCCTCGAGATGCGAAGCTGCAAAGCCTGCGTCACGGGTTTGTGGTGCGCTGGCTACGGGCCCTTGATGCAAATTGGAGCATGCCTGCTGCTATCCACATAAGGTCCTCCATCAGGATAATGCCTCGAGATGTGAAGCTGCAAACCCGTGACGCGGGCTTGTGGTGTGCTGGCAACGGGCCCTTGGTGCAAATTGGAGCTCCACGTAAAGATCCTCCATCAAGATAAACTCCTTTGGCCAGTTCGGTGCAGCCAGAACTGTGTGACACAACCAGCCAGCTGCCTTCCACGGCACGCCAACATGATACCAAGTCGTCATGTGTGCATGTCGATTTTACACACACACCCAGACGTTAAAACCTTTGTAGAGAGAGAGAGGGAAATGACGGGCTGACGGGCTTAGGTGGGTGTCTTGGTGCTCTTCTGGGAAACCTATCTTGAAGTCTTGTGGTTGGAGCTATCTTGTCCGTAGGAGCCTCTTGAAAAAGCAATAGTTATGTGCGGTCTTCAAAGCCATGTCGTCATGCTCTTCGAAGAAGATGGTGCTATCGCCGAACCTATCGCATTGCTACCCCCGCGCTGCCGCGAATCGAATGCACCGGCATTTTCGGCGTTCACTGAGGCAGTTTCATCAAGCCTCAGGTTTACTCCCCTCGCCTTAAAGTCCCTAAGCCAAACCGCCAAACCCTCACCTGTTCAGCCGCTGCACTTCCAGCACGTGAGCAGCGTGCAGCTAGCAGCCCGGCAGCACAAGCGCAGCGTAGGTCTAAGATGCTCGACTCGGATTGCCGAGCATAGAACGGCAGGATCGCCGCTGTACCTCTTTCCATCAAGTGCATTTTGCACTTTGCAACCATGCTCCCACTGCCGAGGCGACGTCAAGCACTTTCGATTAACTCGTGGAAGGTGAGGACTTGCGGAGAAGGCGGGCGAGAAATGAGGAAATGGAGCCTGCGCAGCTCAAAGGAAATCGCGCCAGTTGTAGTCGCAAAAACGTCGAGCAGCAACAGAAAACCTTCGAGTGGAAGGTTCGGAGGCTAGCAGTGGCTAGCATGCGAGTTGAAGAAAGTTCTGCTCTCGATTCGCCCCTCGCCGCAGGCCCTCGGTGGGGAAGGGATCCATGCAATGTCCTCCATCAGGGCGGGCTCCTTGAGCCATTGCGGTACACCCTGCACGACATGCATGACGAGCAAGTAATTCGTTTGCACTGAATCAGGACAACAAGTCGACGTCAGACATTCCAGCTGTGCACGAACAAGCCTTTCTGGTATGCTTAGCATGCAATGCCTCGAGATGCGAAGCTGCAAAGCCTGCGTCACGGGTTTGTGGTGCGCTGTCTACGGGCCCTTGGTGCAAATTGGAGCATGCCTGCTGCTATCCACGTAAGATCCTCCATCAGGATAGGCTCCTTGAGCCATTGCGGTACACCCCGCACGACATGCATGACGAGCAAATTATTCTGTTGCACTGAATCAGGACAACAAGTCGACGACACACATTCCAGCCGTGCACGAACAAGCCTTTCTGGTATGCTAAGCATGCAATGCCTCGAGATGCGAAGCTGCAAAGCCTGCGTCACGGGTTTGTGGTGCGTTGGCTACGGGCCCTTGGTGCAACTTGGAGCATGCCTGCTGCTATCCACGTAATATCCTCCATCAAGATAAGCTCCTTTGGCCAGTTCGGTGCAGCCAGAACTGTGTGACACAACCCGCCAGTTGCCCTGCACAGCACGCCAACATGACACCAAGTCGGCATCACACACTCGAGCTGAGCACAAACAACCTTTTCTGGTATGCTTAGCATGCAATGCCTCGAGATGCGAAGCTGCAAAGCCTGCGTCACGGGTTTGTGGTGCGCTGTCTACGGGCCCTTGGTGCAAATTGGAGCATG